GCGGAGATCGTGCGTGTCGAGTGCGCGAAATGCAGGCGAGAGTGCGACTTGTCCTGCCCGCGCGCAACCCTCTGCGGAGTCGAGTGCGCGAAACGCAGGCGCTGGCGACTTTCTAGTACGTCGTTAGTACGCGGAGAATCTGGGCAGCGGGAAGATGAGAACTGGCGACTTTGTAGTACAACTTTAGTAGGCGGAGCAATCTGTGGAGCTGGAAGCTGAGAACTATAACTTTAGTACGCGGAGTACCTGGAGAGCTGGAAGATGAGAACTGGCGACTTTGTAGTACAACTTTAGTACGCGGAGTATCTGTGGGGAGCTGGAAGATGAGAACTGGCGACTTTGTAGTACGACTGTAGTACGCGGAGCAATCTGTGGAACTGGAAGCTGAGAACTGGCGACCTTTGAGTACAACTTGAGTACGCGGAGTCTCTGTGGAGCTGGAAGATGAGAACTGGCGACTTCCTAGTACAACTTTAGTACGCGGAGCAATCCGTGGAGCTGGAAGCTGAGAACTGGCGACTTTGTAGTACAACTTTAGTACGCGGAGTCGCTGGGGAGCTGGAAGATGAGAACTGGCGAAGTTGTAGTACAACTGTAGTGTGCGGAGTATCTGGGGAGCTGGAAGATGAGAACTGGCAACTTTGTAGTGCAACTGTAGTACGCGGAGCAATCTGTGGAGCTGGAAGCTGAGAAGTGGCGACTTTGTAGTACAGTGAAGACCTTCACCAGCAGCAGTGAAGACCTTCACCAGTGAAGACGAAGGCCTTCACCAGCAGCAGACATGGACGTACACACAGACAGGGACTCATATACACACATCGCACACAGAAACCCATGCACTGCCTCAACTTACTCGGACACGCGCGCACACATACAGAGACTCATATACACACGGACATAGATACACACACACAGAGACCCACGCACTACCTCAACTCACTGGACTTGAACACTTCACACTGAACGCTTAACAGATAACTCACACTCTGACTTCCTACGTGGTGAAAAATGCTTTCGGGCCACTCGTCGTCTAGTGAAAATTCTCTGTGTCTGTTCGAGACCTCTTTCATGCAGGTCCTTCGCGCGACATGCGCGGGGACACCTTGTAGCCGCCTTACGCTGGACTGCAAGCAAGCGTTGCCATGCACCTTGTTTCAGACCCACGCCCAGGTCTGATTTTTCCCTTCAGAAACGCGCAGAGCTCCAAGGCCAGGGTGATGGAAGGGGGATCAAAGGACAAGCTACGCCCCTTCACCCCCGTAGACTCTTAACGCCACACAGCTTGCCACACAGCTTGCGCTGTTGTTTGCAGAGAAGTTGTTTGCTTTTCCCGCTTGGGGCGGGGTAGTTCCAGTTTGCAATAAACAACAGTGTATTTTATAATTTGCGAAAAACTACTCCGCCTGATCTGTAGTGTAAATACCAATGTTTTCCACATGTTCTACTCCACACTTGCCCTACTCCATAGTTACTCCGCAATGTTTTCTAGGGGGAAACACGCCAACTGCGTCCTGGGGAAACTACTCCGCCCGTATCGTAGTGAGTGATGGTGCTTAGACACCGCGGAAGCGTTTGACGGTTCGAGAAATGGCAGCATCCCTCATTCAGTTGGCCAAGCGAGCTCTTGGCTTCAGGCAGCGCAAGCAATGGCTTCAGGCCGGTCGACCTGGTGCTTGGTACCTTCGCCAGCATGATTCTGACAATGTCTTTGGTAAGGAAGTTTTCAGTCTGGTTTGCAGCTGACAGGCTGGGAGACAGACGTTGTAAGTGCCACGAGGCTTGGAACTTCGAAAGTGAATTTTCAAGCGTGTTTGGATTGCAAATGTCTTGCGCCTCAGGAATGTGTGATGTATAGTCTAGCCTAGCCGTCAGTCGCAGCTACAAGCCATTTGCTCCAGCTGCAGTGTTGTCCCGGAGTGAAAGAGACACGGACCCAGTGCCATGCCTCCAAAGCGGAATGCCCAGCAGGATGTCAGGGAGCCCAAGGAAACAATGTGACCTGGGCGAAGCCAGTTTCGGGGTTGAAAGTGGCTAGGGAAAATGGACCTAGAAGGTAGGGCCTCCCCAGTCTGCGTTTGTGATTCGTTAGACCTTCGATCTCCATTGCTGTTGTCGTATCTGTGCATCCCTTGGGTTAGTTGTCATGTTGTCGCAGCTGTATTGTCGATACTCCTTGACGAGTTGGTTCACCACTTCCAACTCTTATATAGATCTTTGTACTTCTGGTCAGACCATAGCGCGAAGAAACTTGTGTCAGGCAATCAAATGTAATCCCTTTCCCGAGTATTTGGCTTGAGATATTTGATGCGAGCCTGAGAGGCAGGCTTAAGGAGAGGTCCATGTTGTGAGCTCATTTCACCAATGTCCTTGCAAAGGGCTCGTGCAGAGCTTGATGACGTGCGGGCTCGGCTGCGGGCAATACAGAAACGGCTCTTGAGGCGGAAGGGAGAGGTGAACAAGTGGCGATCGTCGCCGGCTAGCCCTTGTTGCCTTGTTTTGCTCGTTTACACCAGGGGCAACGCAGAAGTTGTTGCCAACTTTGCACAAGGTCTGGGTTGGCGGCGGGCTCCACGTGTTGCTGCTTTGACCACAGAAGACCGGAGCAAGCTGTTGGCAGACCTCGAGTCGCAGTTTGACAGTGTACCTTTGGCTTCGATAGCAGCTGTTCAGGAAGACCCCGTAAGGGCGGGTGTCTGCAGCGAAGGTGAGGCTATCAGTGTCATCAGGTGGCTGGTGGAACATTCGCTCTTCGGTTGGGTTCAGGAGCAAAACTCTTTGCGTGGAGTTGCTCCGTCCCGGAGGCAGTTAGTGGACAAAGCCTTGTCCGCCATCCCTGTCATTGCGCCAGAGAGGCTGCAGCAAAGAGTTCGCTCAAGTCTGTCTGGCAGTTTGCGCAGCCAGCGGAAGTGGTTGGCTAAGTTCCGGTTGCGATGGGGTTTGCGCTTGGGGAAGCTTCGTATCCAGAATCACCTGTCAGTGAGTGACAAGCAAGCCAAGGAAACACGAGGGCAAAAAACGAGCATGTTTTTGGTGTTGTTTGGCAAGGCCAAAAACGGCATCGTTTTCATCCAAATAGAAGCAAAGGTGTAAATCAGCGCAAAGGAGTTGCAACCCCATTTTTGGCTTTGTTTGCCGCTCCTGTTTTTGACCTCGCCTACCTTGCTAGGCGTTGGCTTATTTTCAATGGATCAACGCAGCATCTGCAGCGGCTCCGGCTTGTCAACCACCCTTACTGATTAACATGGACGAGACCTCCCTCGTCAGGCATGTCAGTGGTCTCATTGGCACAGTTGTCAAAAATCCGAGCAACGGGTGTCAGCTGGGCGAGGTGGCTCCTCTGTGCGACAGGCGCAGCTACATCACATATTTGGCAACTATTACGCATGATTCGGAAGTGCAGCCCAGGCTTCCGCAGGTATTGATTGGGAATGAGCGTCAGTTCACTGCCACCGTCATGAACAGCGTGGATTTTTTACCCAGCAATGTGTACCAGTGGAGATGCAAGTCTGCGTGGAATAGTCACATGTTGATGCGGAGGTATTTGTCTCTGTTAGCTTCGTCCCTAGGTAGCGTCCTAAAGGAGCGATATGTGATTTTGATCTTGGACGTGGCTCGGTGTCACTTGCATCCGACAATTCTGGCTCACGCCAAACGGTGTGGAATCCGGCTGTGCTTCATTCCCGCTTTGATGACTGCAGAGCTGCAGCCGTGCGACACTCATTTGTTTGCGCGCTTCAAAGCAACCTTTCGGGAACATTGGCGCCGACAGAAAGCACTTTCCATTGCAGGGTCGTTGAGTACGTTTCAATGGCTTGAAGTTGTGGTTTCAAGTCTCCAAGCAGTGTTACCCGCCGATTGGGACGCCGCGTTTGCAGCGAGTGGGGCATTGGCTGAGCAGACCCGTGTGGCTGACGTGCTGTGCGCGAAGTTGGGTTGGGCTAGCGCGCCTCTGGTGCCGGAAGGTTTGCCAACTGTTGAAACTGCGTCCTTGGTTTTTCCGAAGAAGATGAAGGTGAATGTTCAAGCGTATGTTTCTTGGGGATGCCACGTCCCTCTCCAGATGAAAGCGTGTGATTATTCCAGACGTAGACGGCCATTGCCTCCAACTTTCATAGGCACAGTAGATCATCCTCTCACAATCGACTAGCTGGCTGCGTGTGTGGCAGCTGCAACTGAGGAGGCCCACCCTGTGGGGTCCGGAAAACGAAGCTGTTTCCG